TTACATCGAACGGGGAGCTTCACTGGACGCGACCTCCATCAAAGCGTTCGACGTTGCTCGCTTCCGCGAAAAGCCGAAGGGGAAAGTCGCCGAAGAGTACTTCGAGTCTGGCAACTTCTACTGGAACGCCGGTATCTTCATCTGGAAAGCGAAGACCGTTCTCGACGCTTTGAAGAAGCACGAGCCAGAAATGTATGCCCACCTCGAAGCGATTGCCAATGCTTGGGGCACCGCCGAGCAGGCCGAAGTTTTCGATCGCGAGTTCGGTGCCATCCAAGGCAAGTCGATCGACTATGCGGTGATGGAACACCATAACGACATTGTTGTCGTCGAAGCTCCTTTCAACTGGGACGACGTCGGCAATTGGCAAAGCATGGCTCGGCTGCATGGGCAGGACGACTGTGGCAATACACACTTGGGCGATGTCCTGGCGATTGACTCCAACGGGTGCATTGTCCGCGGCGAAGATGGCCATCTGATCGTGACGCTCGGCACGCAAGAGTTGATCATCGTGCATACGCCGGATGCGACATTAGTGGCGGATAAGTCGCGGGAAGAAGACATTCGCCAGGTCGTTAAAAAACTGGACGAGGGAGGCCGGCGGAACCTTCTGTAAAGGACCGCAGTCATGAGCAGTCAACTTCCTTCGATCCCAGACAAAGGACGCATTGCGGCCGTCGACTATGGCACGGTCCGCATCGGAATTGCGATTACGGACCCTGATCGCGTTCTGGCAAGTCCGCTGGAAAACTACAACCGCCGTAGCCCTTCCAAAGATGCTCAGTTCTTTCGCGAACTAGCTGAACTGGAACGCGTGGTGATGTTTGTAGTGGGCCTGCCGGTTCACATGAGCGGGGACGAAAGCCAGAAGTCGCACGAAGCCCGCGAGTTCGGCAAGTGGCTTTACGAGACGACGAACGTTCCCGTCACCTTCTACGACGAACGCTTCACCACCAGCATGGCCAAAGACATGCTACAAGAGGCAGGTCTCACCAAGAAGCGTCGCAAAGCTCGGCTCGACATGCTTTCCGCCCAGATCTTACTC